AGTTAGAATAGGGTTTTGGGGGTTGCTTTATTATGGTTATAGTATAATATACCCCCAAACCCTATTCTAACTGTTAAGGGCCATATATTGGGGCTTAGGGCGAAGAGGGTTTAGGGAGGGCGCATCCCAAAAAAAAAACAAAGCCCTTCTGGGCTCTCCGACGCCGCGAGGTCCGTGATGGTGATGAAGGTGTAGTAGTGCGCCACGGTGATGTTCCTGGCAAAAAGAGCACGTATCGGACAAATGCGGAGTCTTAGAGCTTCGTGCTAAGGGTCTGTGGGGGCTTAGGGGCTGGGGTCGTTGGGTTGAGGGTCTTCGTAACTGATCTTCTGTTTGGTACCCTAAGGGTCCATGTACTCATATAGTATATACATGGGCCCTAAAGTACCTATATAGGGACTACATTAAGGCCAATGTTTCTACTATATGAGCACATGGACCCTTAGGGGTAATGTTTGGTACAGCATCTACGGCATATCACTTGGCCATGAGAATCCTGTGCTCTAAGTGGCCTCAGACTGTAAACTGTAGACACCCCCTAGACCCAGGAGTAACCTAGGAATGAAAAGGGTGCCCTTTTTGGTTTTAAGGGGATTATAAGGGAGCCCCAACCCTAAAAAAGGAAATAAGGGCCTACTCCGGGTCCTAGCCCCAGTTCCAGCAAACAACTAAAATGCAGTGATGCAAGTTGGGTCTACGAGACTTGCGCAGCACCAGCCCCCCTGAATGAGCCGACGTCCGAGTTGCCACAAGTTGTCGTAGTTCCGCCAGTAGAGGGCCACCCACATGGCGACATCGATGACAACAGCGAGAACCTAAGAACAAGCAGGGAACAAGCGCGGAACAGGCAGACATTGACTCAGCAAGGGGACTTGATTATCGATACAGCTGTGGACAGCGGGTGCCCATTCCCTGGTAGAACCCCGTGTCGTAAGCTTCAAGGCGTCTGGTGATGCATGTCCAAAAACTCATTCATCACAACGGAACTTTCTGCCACACAAAGAAAATTTGCACATGAAGCTCTAATTAGTCCGAAGCCAAGTGCAGGCCAGAGAACCAGGCTCGTGCCACCAAATGGTGGGCCATCAACACCGTCGAGGACCTCCTGTTCCGGATCTTACGACTTTCATGCTGATGCTGCCAATCGCTTGCCGATGCACATGGGTAGTTCTCTAAATTAGAGTCCCTTTTTTAGGTCACCAAAATAGTACGGAACCCTTAGGAAAAGGACCCGAAAAGGGACCCTATTTTAGAGAACTGCCCACATGCTGCTGCTGACAACGAGGATGATGCTTCCCATGGTGATTGTGGTCGTGTCGGCGTTGTTGTGGTTGTTGGTGATGAGGATGATGAAGACAACGACAAGGACTGTGATGGCTCTGATTCTGAAGAATAGGATTACGAGCACATACCCAAAGGCTCCATGTACCCATATAGTCGATACTTAAGCCTTAAAAAGGTCCCTATATAGGTACTTTAAGGCCTAATGTATCTACTACATGGGTACATGGAGCCTTAGCGATATATACCCCTGACTACGAACGAAACATGTTTTCTATAGCTTCGTCTCTCGCAAGAATCTTGGACTCGCCTTGTCTCGTGTCGTTCCTTCAGAGTCGCTGCTATTGATTCCTTGACCTTGACCGACCATTCTAAGCCCTAATAGGGAATTTATAGGGTTTAGGGTTTAGGGTTTATAAGCCCTAATAGGGAATTGATAGGGACCCTACAAAAAAGTAGGTTTGGTAGGTTAGGATAGTTGCATGAAAGCCAGCGCTTGCGTCCCTCGCTCCTGCGGCACATCCGGGGCCAGGGCGCTTGGCGCCCAAGGTGCCCGTCGACGGCACACCAACATAGCTGCAACGGAGCAACGATCAACACCGTTACTACACCTATGCAGTCTATGTTCAGACACTGAAGTACCTATATAGGAGCCCCACTTAAGGCTTATGTATACGACCAGCAGCTGCCATCCTCACAACCGAGTTCTGGCAGTCTGCGCAGTAGGACTTCCTCTCTGATGGCCCTAAACACTAAACCCTAAACCCTAAACCCTAAACCCTAAACCCTAAACCCTAAACCCTAAAGGGTTCGCATAGGATTTCAGCTTTCCGAGCCGCAGGAAGGCCAACCGCAACTCCAAGCCCCCACATTCCCAGACCCGCTGCTAAAGAGTTCTTCGTAGGAATGCTCTTAAATTAATATATGATATACTATAATATACTATAATATGATATACTATAATATACTATAATATGACATACTATAGTATGATATACTATATAATAAAATACTACACTATAAATATACATTTTGGATCCTCCGGGTTACCGTAGCGCCCATCCCGTGATCATCCGCCGGAGACACCGGGACCAGGCCCGGTTCAGGGTTTAAGGGTTTAGGATAGGGTTTAGGGTGTTAGGGTTTTAGGGTTTAGGGTTTAGGGTTTAGGGTTTAGGTTTTAGGGTTTTAGGGTTTAGGGTTTAGGGTTTTAGGGATATAATATATATATATATGCATATATATATATATAGATGCATAGAGAGAGAGAGAGAAATACATATAGATAAAGATGATACAAACACAGATATACGAAGATTTAAAGATACTGATATGGGTAATTCTCTTAATAAGGGCCCCGTTTTAGTTCCCAATATAGTACGGCACCCTTATAACAGGACCCTAGAAGGGACCCTACTTTAGAGAACTACCCATATAGAAATCCTTATAGTACCCTCATAGAGGCCCTATATAGAAGCCCTTATAGATCTCTTTAAGGAACCCAAAAATTTAGAGAACTACCCATATACTACCCATGTAGACGTGCGTATTGAAACTGGTCTCGAGGGCCCCGGCTCCGCCGCACGTTCCAGCATGAGCTGCCCATCACTGGTCTCCTTTTTTGGGGAGAAGGGTGCCCGAATGGATTTAGGGTTTAGGGGTTTAGGGGTTTAGGGGTTTAGGGGTTTAGGGTTTTAGGGTTTTGGGTTTAGGGTTTAGGGTTTAGGGTGTAATATAGGGGCCTTAATGATTACCTATACTATGTTGGGGAGTTCCTTATTATAACTACAGTATGATATACCCCAAAACCCTATTCTCCAATTATTAAGGTCCCTTTGTTAGGGCTCAGGTTTGGGTGTTTAGGGTTGAGGGACGGTCTGCCTTGTCAGCGTGTAGAATCCCTAGCTGAAGGATCTTCCTTGTCCTTTTAATGGATCCTAATTTAGGGCCTCTTTGGAGCGCATGGCAAGGAGCATGTACAATGACCTAGGGTTGTTTAAAGTTTAGGGCTTAGGGTTTAGGAGTTTAGGGTTTAGGGTTTAGGGTTTAGGGTTTAGGGGGTTGGCACTTGCTGGCCGTGCTAGTCCTAGATCAATTTGCAATGAATTGCTCGTGCTTTTGCCAGAAGGTGACGAGGATGGGCAAGACAGTTGGACACGTGGTCTTGCAGCAGGATGATCCACGCCCACATGATAGTAGCCCTTATAGACCCCCTTATAAGGAACCCTTTAAAGGAACCCCCAAACCCTATCAGAAAGGCTCGTGGACCTCGTAAACAACCCCGAACTGGTCACCGATGCATTGACTTCCCAAGGCCCGAGTGCTGAAAGGAAACAACGCCCTTTCAGGTCGTTGCAGCTCTGTGGGGTTTAGGGTTTAGGATTTAGGGTTTAAGGTTTAGGGATTTGGGTTTAGGGCAGGGTCTCGAACCCAAGCATCCATCAAAGTGGTCGTCCAAAGCACGCAGCTTGTAAAAGGTTCAAGTTGCAAGGAAATTGGAAACCATGCAATGCACAAATGCCAGCATGTCGACTGACAAAAATAACACACGACAAGCCGCATGCCTAGCAAAGCACCGCCCGTTCGAACTGGACAAGCTTCCCTCTCTCTCCCTCTTGGCCAGGCTGCTGTAAGGACGGTGAGACTGCAAGCATTGCATTTGGAATCCTGAGACAACATGAGCGTGACTCTCCCACCACGGCTGCAACTTGAAAAACGCATCATCGGGTAAAGTCGGCTTGGTGCACTGAACCCACAAAAGCTTCTTGCAACAGCCCCTGCGCCCTGCCCCAAGCCGCACACTCCGCGCCCCTGCCCGGGCTTCGAAGCAGTAATGTAGGGGCCTTAAGAAGTGGAATAGGGTTTTGGGGCCCATTATACTCTAATTATAACAAGGAACCCCCTCAAAATAGTATAGATTTGGGGCCCATTATACTCTAATTATAACAAGGAACCCCAAAACAGTATTGGTAAGTATTTAGGCCCCTATATTACACCCAAACCCAGAAAGCCAGGAACCCTGAGACGTTGAGGCGTGTGTGGCCGGGGGGCCTAAACTCTAAACCCTGAACCCCAAACCCTAAACCCCCTAAACCCTACACCCCTAAACCCTAAACCCTAAACCCTAAACCCTAAACCCTAAACCCTAAACCCTAAACCCTAAGCCAATCTGAAAGCCGGGGGGCCTGCTCCAGCTTGCCTGCCTCGTCGGAGAAGTGGGTGTAGTGCAGCAGCTTCTGGCTGGACTTCTGCCTTGGATTTCATGTAATGAGTATAACCCTAACCCTAAACCCTAAACCCTAAACCCTAAACCCTAAACCCTAAACCCTAAACCCTAAACCCTAAACCCTAAACCCTAGACCCTAAACCCTAAACCCTAAACACTGAGACTTTCAAAAAGATCTTGATCTTGATGATAATCATGCAAACAATGAAAATAACCACAACAGTAAAACAAGAGTCTACACACTTTGCCGGTACTTCGTCTTCAGGAAACATATGGCTGATGGACAAAATCCTGCATGACCTTATATACTTAAACTATGGGATTCATGGTACTATACTATATTTCGGCCATGCAGAATTCTGTCCATCAACAGGACCCTAAACCCTAAAACCCTAAAACCTAAACCCTAAACCCTAATCCCCAAACCCTAAACCCTAAAACCCTAAAACCCTAAACCCCAAACCCTAAAACCCTAAACCCTAAACCCTTAAACCTATAGCACAGTATCAAGTTCTTGAATGCTTTCCGTCCGAGAGTCAGCTTCAGCTTCAGTTGCAGGCTCCTCTCCACATGGACGAGGGACCACCTCGGCGGGGGCAGGTCTTAAGGTTAGAAGTATGGGCCCCTAATCCAATGGGCTAATATTAGGGTTTAGGGTTTAGGGGTTTCGGGTTTAGGGTTTAGGGGTTTAGGGGTTGAGGGGTTTAGGAGGCGCCTAGTATGGACCCTTAGCCTTTCTAGGGACCCTTAAGGGTACGTATAGGGTATATAGTAGGTGTATACGGATCCCAGGGTTACGGGCCCACACTAGGGGCCCATGGGTTCAACCTTAGACAGGTGGTGATGGCAAGAGTCGTCTCACTAGCTGCAGGAGTTACAGCGTCACAGTCGATGAGGCACTAGAAGCATGACATGCCCTGAGCATCCTACGCGATTTGCACCTGGGTCTATGCATACACCTTCAGCACCAATAATATAGGGCCTGAATAATTAACTTAGAATAGGGTGTTGGGGGGGTTCCTCATTATAACTATAGTATCATATACCCTCAAAGCCTATTCTAATCACTAAGGGGCTTT